AATAGCTATTCAAAATTTCGAAAACATCTATGGTATACGCATTGTACACAGATGCACAAAGGAACAAAATACAGTTGATGGCTTTTGTATTGGAATTGCAATCCTGATCTATGAACTACAGGGCAACAACAGACTGTGGAATCCTGATCTATGATATTGCAAGCGGTCGGTGGAGGGCAACAACAGACTTTACTGGGAATGTGAAGATGTCTTTCAGGAAAAACACATGAGAAGAACGTCCAATCCATCTTCAGTCAACATACAGATATTGCAAACAAATATTACTTGAAGAAGGTCGGTGGTATAGCGGCGAAACATTGACTAACGAACACGAGGACAACAGTCCGAACAATGTAAAATAGTGTACTTTACTGAGGGAAGGCCGGACTTAAACTGAGGAATGTGAATGTTAGATGTCAGCCCATTTCAGGAAAAACACATGAGAAGAACGTCAACACAAACGCCATCGAACCAATCTTCAGAAACGTCAACATACAGATTGGTTGTTCTGGGTTCGGTTCGAAAAACAATGTAAAATAGTGTAATAATTCAAACAAATATTATAGAAGAAGGCTTGAAACGTCGATATGGCAACGGTCCGAACAATATAAATAGTGTAAATAATTACAAAACCTCATCTCAGAAATATTGTAGAAGAAGGGAGCGTAAACGAAACCTCGAATAGGCACAAGATGAGAACAACAGTCCGAACAATGTAAATAGTGTAAATAATTACAATACCTCATCTCAAAACATAGACATATATATTACAACGTCTAAACAATATACAACGAAGATGAGGACCTCAGTCCGAACAATCAAATAGAAATATAGACATCTCAGATATAGACAGATATAGAAGAAGGCCGGAGCGTACAACGGTCTAAACCGAAGATGAGGACAACAGTCGAACAATGTAAATAGTGTAAATAATTACAATACTTCATCTCAGAATATGACATATATATAGCAATATGGCGAAGATGAGGACAACAGTCCGAACAAATACCTCATCTCAGAAATATAATATATAGAAGAAGGCCGGAGCGTACAAAAACGTCGTGAATAATTAACAATACCTAAAAATAATTACTCCTCATCTCAGAAATATAGACAGATATAGAAAAAGGCCGGAGCGTACAACGGTCTAAACGTCGTGAATATGGCAACGAAGATGAGGGACAACAGTCCTAACAATGTAAATAGTGTAAATAATTACAATACCTCATCTCAGAAATATAGACAGATATAGAAGAAGGCCGGAGCGTACAACAATGGTCTAAACAATACCTCATCTCAGAAATATAGACAGATATAGAAGAAGGCCGGAGCGAATATGGCAACGAAGATGAGGACAACAGTCCGAACAATGTAAATAGTGTAAATAATTACAAATCATCTTAGAAATATAGACAGATATAGAAGAAGGCCGGAGTAATCTAAACGTCGTGAATATGGCAACGAATATGAGGACAACAGTCAACAATATAAATAGAAATAATAGACAGATATAGAAGAAGGCCGGAGCGTACAACGGTCTAAACCTCATGAATATGGCAACGAAGATGAGAACAACAGTCCGAACAATGTAAATAGTGTAAATAATTACAATACCTCATCTCAGAAATATAGACATATATAGAAGAAGGCCGGAGCGTACAACGGTCTAAACGTCGTGAATATGGAAACGAAGATGAGGACAACAGTCAAATAGTGTAAATAATTACAATACCTCATCTCAGAAATATAGACAGATATAGAAGAAGGCCGGGCGTACAACGGTCTAAACGTCGTGAATATGGCAACGAAGATGAGGACAACAGTCCGAACAATGTAAATAGTGTAAATAATTACAATACTATCTCAGAAATATAGACATATATAGAAGAAGGCCGGAGCGTACAACGTCGTGAATATGGCAACGAAGATGAGGACAACAGTCCGAACAATATAATAAGTAAATAATTACAATACCTCATCTCAGCAGATATAGAAGAAGGCCGGAGCGTACAACGGTCTAAACGTCGTGAATATGACAACGAAGATGAGGACAACAGTCCGAACAATGTAAATAGTGTAAATAATTACAATACCTCATCTCAGAAATATAGACAGATATAGAAAAGGCCGGAGCGTACAACGGTCTAAACGTCGTGAATATGGCAACGAAGATGAGGACAACAGTCCGAACAATGTAAATAGTGTAAATAATTACAATACCTCATCTCAGAAATATGGACAGATATAGAAGAAGGCCGGGCGTACAACGGTCTAAACGTCGTGAATATAAGATGAGGATAACAGAACAATGTAAATAGGTAAATAATTACAATACCTCATCTCAGGACAGATATAGAAGAAGGCCGGAATAACAACGGTCTAAACGTCGTGAATATGGCAAACAATGTAAAGAAATAATTAAAATGGGAAATAGACAGATATACAGTCCGTCGTGAATATGGCAATGAGGACAACTAAAATGTAAATAAGTGTAAATAATTACAATACCTCATCTCAAAATATAGACAGATATAGAAGAAGGCCGGAGCGTACAACGGTCTAAACGTCGTGAATATGAACGAAGATGAGGACAACAGTCCGAACAATGTAAATAGTGTAAATAATTACAATACCTCATCTCAAAATATAGACAGATATAGAAGAAGGCCGGAAACGGTCTAAACGTCGTGAATATGGCAACGAAGATTACAACAGTCCGAACAATGTAAATAGTGTAAATAATTACAATACCTCATCTCAAAATATAGACAGATATATTACAAACGGTCTAAACGTCGTGAATATGGCAACAACAATCATTTTGAAGAAAACCGGAGCGTACAACGGTCTAAATGTTCTATGGCAACGAAGATGAGGACAACAGTCGAACAATGTAAATTCTTTCATCTCAGAAATATAGACATATATAGAAGAAGGCCGGAGCGTACAACGGTTAAACGTCGTTAATATGGCAACGAAGATGGGGACAACAGTCAACAATTAAATAGTGTCATAATTAAAATTCCTTATCTAAGAAATAATAGACAGATATAAGACCTATAAAGGTCTAAACGTCGTGAGGATCTTTTTATCGAACAATGTTTCTTCATCTCAGAAATATAGGCTATAGGGACAACGGTCTAAACGTCGAATATGGCAACGAAGATGAGGAAACATCGAACAATGTAAATAGTGTAAATAATTACTGGGCCCTCTCAGAAATATAGGCAGATATAGAAGACAACAACTCTAAACGTCGAATTGGCAACCATGAGGACAACAGTCCGAACAATGTAAATAGTGTAAATGCAATACCTCATCTCAGAAATATAGACAGATATAGAAGAAGGCCGTAAGTACAACGGTCTAAACGTCGTGAATATGGCAACGAAGATGAGGACAACAGTCCTAACAATGTAAATAGTGTAAATAATTACAATACCTCATCTCAGAAATATAGACAGATATAGAAGAAGGCCGGAGAAAACGGTCTAAACGTCGTGAATATGGCAACGAAGATGAGGACAACAGTCTAACAATGTAAATAGTAAATAATTACAATGAGAAATATAGACAGATATGAAGAAGGCCGGAGCGTTAACGGTCTAAATGTGTGAATATGGCAACGAAGATGAGGACAACAGTCCGAACAATTAGTGTAAATAATTAAAATACCTTATCTCAGAAATATAGGCAATCATTATAAAAACAAATTCAACATCATTTTGGAAAATAACAACTTTTCTACTGTTCTTTTTTATTGTCTAAATCATTTTCATTCTTTTTTCAATAGTCCTTGGTTGCTTTCGTTTTTTTAAAGGTGAGGATCTATCAACTTCTCTTAGGGATTAAACGGCAAGGTCATCTGGGCCCTAGAAAGAGGACAACACTGAATTGAAAACCATTTGGGAATGTGGCTACCAATTTAAGATCCTATAAACCAAATAGCTACATCTTTAGGATCCTTATACTCTAATATGGCTAATGTTTTCACTGGGTTTGGGTACTGAAAAAATCACATGCTCTAGTTCAATGGAATTGATTGATTTGTTTTTTTAAATTAAACCAGTTGTTTTTTTAAAGCCATATAAACCTGCTTTTTTCATAATAATAATAATTTTTTCAGTGAAAACTGCACTAAATAATTTTTTTCTAAATTTTTTTTTTAATTTTTGAGAATAACAATGATTTTTTTTTCAAATACAAGTCCTACTGTTTAATCCATATCTAAAGGGAGGGGATGGATTCATATCTTTCCATAGGCTATTTGCGCGTAAGTAAATGTAAAGAACTTGATTGGAATCGGATTTCTCATTCCGAGTTGCAAACCACTACACCACCCACTGGAAAATGGGATGAGAACAATCTACCATCGTGGATTGAATAAAGTATTCGGTTGAAAATTCCAAGAGTTTTATAGTTAGAAAATGTCACACAGTCTGGTTCGGTAGATTAAATGATACAAAGGTGAATAAAAATGGTGACTATTAATTGAGATGAAATGTTCCCTTTGATTAGAGTTACTTATCTGTTTGTGAATTAGGCACTTCGACGTAGTGTAATTGTTAGCAACTATTGAGTTTGATCCTCACGGGGTGCTCGACACTTTCGGCCTTCTATGCTTAGAAAATAAAATATGACACAGATCATCATCCAGTCTTTTGTAGTTTCCAGATATCTTTGAAGGCCGATTCTTTTAGCTTTGTAAGACAGTTCTAGTTGAACTAATCCTCTGCCTCCTTCGGATCTGGGCGCATACAGAAGATCAATTTAAATACTTACTTGCTGTCAGCGTTAAGTTATAAAAATAATAAGGCCAAACACAGGGAAACCTTCCCCCCAGGCAGCACTTCTCCTTTTGGGGACGCTCCAGGCGGCCCCAAAGGGAGAAATACCGAGGGGTCTTGGACAATTTTTCCATGGTATTGCCTTTAAACTGACTTTAAACATCGACCTTGTGCCACATTTGGTAGTGACGTGGGCCCGCTGAAAAAATAGACTTACCTGTTTGTAATTGGTAAGGGCCGTTCTTCATATGGCGTTCGAGGCACGCTTCTTTGAGTTGAGAGAGAAATCGGAGAAGAAAGATCAATCTTTGGAATGAAATCAGTTATTTCTTTGGGATTGTCTACAAAAAAAAAAAAAAAAAAAAAAGAAAATTTTGCATGGAAAAAAAGAAGTTTAATTGTTCTTTTAAAATAGCTAAAAAGAAAAGAAAAACATTTGAATTTTTAAAATTTAATTTCTAAATTTTTGCTGCATTTTTTACTAGCTTTCTCTTACAACTCTGAAAAGTGTCTCTTATAAAAAAACAAAAAAAAAATCATTTATTTATTTATATTGCTATAGTTATTTAGCATTCTTCCAGTTTAGTCCGTTATATTCATTTGCGCACAAGCTTTGGAAACGGTATAAAACCCTTTCCCCAACCAGCTATGGATTAATTAGTAAGACGTGTTTCGCTAAATCATTATTATCTTAAAAAAATAAACAATTTAAAAATATTTCCTGGCTTTAAATAATCTGAAAATGATTGATAAGCCGTAGAAAATGGATCAATCAATCATTAGTATTTCTTTATGACGTTGGCGATCATGGTTCTCCACAATTTCCTGTCTTTTGTAACTTAATAAATTTTGTTTTAAAATTCTTCTGTCATCAATTTACTGATGCTCACAGGGTAGATTATGCTTTGTTTCCCTCTCTTAGTCTGTCCTTTGAGTATCAAATTTCCCAAGCCCTCTTTCCTCATTATGTGCCCTTCTGGATCCGGTAGTGAAAATATTCATTCAACAAGAACGAACAATAACTGGCACCACAGGCACAAAATAACACAATACTCAGCTGATATCATACAAAGCAGTAGACACCTGATGATGTGCAGAGGGTAACTGCCTGAAACGTTATATCTATAATAATCAAGAAGAATAGTCCGAATAAGGCAAATTATTGTTGTTTATCTTATACTATATATACAGCTGGTCACTCGTATTCGAGGATATCCGTCTACTAGGGCGGCCAGCAAATCCCTGTTGCAGACGCTTGCTCAGGCGGATTTTGTATTTATTCAACACCCACAAAGTCCAGCTGTGGTTTATACTGCAACTATGCTGAGCAGACCGTAGTTACTGTTTCTGGGAAAGCGCGTGTTATCTAGCGTGATCAACAATTTGAACAAGGCCAGCACGCTCAATCCCTCGGCCACGATGACTTGTGACTTTGTGCTAGCACAGCTATCGATGGCCCCTAAGGGTTTCGTCTATCCAGTTTCATTCACAAGGCTTGGGTCAACCTGTGGTATGGTTTTCAGGCACTTTTCAAAGGTGCCACACGCTGGGATAGACCCGTCCAGTCCGATAACATCAGGACGTTTCTTTCCTGACAAATCGACCATGGTGCAATTCGAACTCGGGTCTCATGGTTAGAAAGCGAACGTTCTAACCACTCCGCCACTATATGCTACGAACATCAAAATTGTAGTTCATAAGGCATGAGTCATCTGCGTGCTGCACTACGGCGTCTAGAATTGGCGCCTCTACTCCAGACAGGAGCGATGCCATAGGGCCTTTCACCGTTACTACATGAGAAGCATTTTGTGTAGCAAGTGATACGACCGGATCACCAATGCTGTATTCTCATCCGTGGCTAGTTACCCAGCCTATACGTCCTTCAACAGCGCCGGCTCAGTAGGTTTGGACATATACACAGTATGCTGGATTGGGAGGATTCCGAAGGTCCTTTTGTACGGGGTGTTACAGTTTTTTTGGATATATGTATGTACTAGTGAGCCAACCAAAATGAGCTGACTCATTTTATAGTCCATCAAGAGAAGGGTTAACCAATCAGAAAGCTCAAAATATTCAATCCAACGCATATAAAGGCAGCCATTTTGTTTTTTTCTCCCAAAATATCTTCACTGCCAACCTCTGATATCGAAGACTTAAAGAATTACTTAACAGCTGCTACTTATCCGAATCTTCACTGCAGTCCTAATCAACGCCGAAGTGGTTAACCACCTTACCTCACACGACCTGCTCTCAGACAAGCAATATGGTTTCCGCTACGCCCGATTTACAGCTGATGTGCTTACGGCCATCACTGAAACCGTCTACCAAGCCCTTCAAAATAACGGTGAGGCTCGTGCCGTGGCCCTAGACATCTCCAAAGCGTTTGATAGGGTTTGGCATGCCGGCATTCTTCGCAAGCTCCAGGGTTATGGTATTACAGGTCGATTGTTTGACCTAATACAATCATTCCTGTCAAACCGTGAATTGAAGGTCGTTCTCAACGGATTCTCCTCCAGTTCTTATCCCACGAACGCAGGTGTTCCCCAAGGCTCCATCCTTGGCCCCACTCTATTCCTTATTTTCATCAACGACCTTCCTGACGCCATAGATTCCCAAGTTGGCATCTACGCGGACGACACTACAATTTACTCCTGCCTCAAAAACTAATCTAATGTCGCTGATAAAACTAACCTGGCCGTGCGTCTCGAAAAGGACCTCCAATCGGTTGTGAACTGAGGCAGGAATTGGCTGGTCGACTTTAATGCCTCAAAAACAAAACTGCTCTCTATTAATCACCACAGAGATCCTTCCCTGCCCTCCATTAGAAGGTCTGATAGTCAAATTCTTGAGAGCAACTCTCTGAGTCTGCTCGGTCTCAGGTTGACTGCTAACCTGAGATGGAACAAATACATTGAGTCAATTGCTTCATCCACCGCGAGGAATGTTAGCTCTCTGTGCCGCGCCAGGAAAATTTTCTCCCCGGAATCGATACATCAAATATACAAATCAACCATTTGCCCTTGCATGGAGTATTGCTGCCATATATGGTCTGGTGCACCTTCTGTTTACCTCGGAGTTCGTGACAAGATCCAGAGGCGGATATGTAATATAATTGGCCCTGATCTGGCATCTCGTCTACAGTCACTCTCTCACAGACGCGCCGTCGCCTCTCTCTGTCTTTTCTACAAATACTTTCATGGTAATTGCTCCGAGGAGCTGCATTCGCTGGTTCCCAGACTTCATGAATTCAAGCTGGCATCCCGCTCTCACCCTTTCACTGTAGAAACTTTTAAATATAGACGTCTCTTCTACTCCAATAGCTTGATACCTCGCACCTCTCGCCTGTGGAACACCCTTCCCTATTACTGTTTCCCTGAGAGCTATAATCTCCAACTAGTCAAATGTAATGTCAATCGACAACTCCAGTTACCTTGATCTATCCACTATCCCTCTCCTCATCCTTTCTTCTATCACTCCTATCTGCTCTTGCTCCAAATCTTCTGCAACCCCCTGCATCCTCGTGGCTTCACGCCTTGCTCGGGGCGTAATGCTTAAAAAAAACCCCCAAAAACCTCTGATATTGAACACATTACGTACTTCACTGGATTCTATATTCAAAGACTACGGCAAACATGGTTAACACGGTGGACTGTCCACCGGCAAGAGAGCACGAGGTCGACCTCATCTTCGTTTCAAGGGCGTCTGTAAAAGGCACACGCGGGCGATGGACATGGGCATCACGAGGTGGTAAGACCTCACCAACGATAGATCACGCAGGAGACGCGGTTTGCATCTAAAGCTGCAAAGCGTACTCGGCAGAAGGAAAACAACACGCCGAGATCGTCTTCACATGCACTCGTTGCAATCGAGACTGTCACTCCCGTACGGGCCTGTACAGCCATAACGAAAGCTGCCCAGCCACCAGCAGCTTAGGCATAACTCTTTGGGCGCAGATCCATGATCTTTCGGGACCGACAGATGCCAAATAATCTTATAGAAAACGGCTTACTGCTTCTCACTAATTCTTGATTCGCTTTATCAAGGAGATTTCGCTTCCAGCAAACATGTTTATATATTTCAGCTGGCTTCTATCCAGCCTCATCCATCTAGGTGGCTTTTAGAACTGATAAAAAGCCAAACCTCATTGGGGTTTTATTCATTTACCAAATTCAGACACGGAAAATAGTTTTAATAGTTAATAATGTTCAGGACAAAGAAACACTTTAAATTCACCAGTTATTCAATAATTAAAAGAAAGTTGTTTTTAGCTCCCCTTTGGCTGAATTTAAACATGATAAACAACTGCTTATCTTGGTTTATTTCCAGGGGTCATCACGAGTAACAACCACCAACTATCTGAGATATCTGTACACTGATGCATCAGTTGAAAAACAGTTGAAAGTCGGCAATTTATTTAAAAATTTGCAGATGCCACTAATCTCATAAAAATATTTTATTATAATGATTTAGTGATACAAATTTTACTAAAATTTTCTGAAGAGGAGAAATCACACCGATTTGCAGAAAATGCTTAGTCTGAAACAATTTTGAACTTTATACGATTTTACCATTAAGGGAGGGAAGGAGTTACATCTATAGTTTTTATTTATTACAGGCTGGATATTCTTTATCCGAAATTCCCAAATCCGAAAACCTCCAAATGAAGACTTTCAGAAAGGACTTGGAAGGTTCCTAGGTGATGTGCAGCTGTTGTAGTTGACCTCATATTCCTTGGGGTGGGGGTTCCCCAGCCTAGATACGTAGCTTATGTTGGCACTGGCTTTTGGTTAGCGATCGATCATCGTATGTGGATTACTTACCAGGTGTTTCTTGCTCAGTAAAGATATTATCGAAAAAGTCCTTTTTGTGAAACATTTTTTTGTACACGTACAGAAAGTACAAAACATTTTTTATTATTATTAAATCTGAATTTCACAACTTAAAAATCCGAGTCATATAAGCATGATTAGAGTAATTACCTGTATGTACGCAAAATCTATTCAATTTTATATAAATATACTTTCAGGTAAATATGTTATTTATGTAAAACTACCTTCAGAGTATATGTATAAGCTGTGTTATGAAATGTAAAGGGATATCGTGTTCATGCCTGGGTTCCATTCCCAAGCTGTGCCATTTTATAGATGTTATATACAAATTAAATAGCCTCTATTTCAAATTTCTTCCGGACCCAAGAAATTTTACTTTGCTTAGCTGGTGGTTCGTGTGTGTGTGTGTGTGTGTGTGTGTGTGTGTGTGTGTGTGTGTGTGTGTGGTGGGTATTGGAAATTGCTTACCCCAGACGCAGTGAGTTCAAGCCTTATTTAAAGCACCAATATTTACAAATATTTGTGCAAGAATTTTCAAACTGAAAGATTTATGAACCAACAACCTCAATAAATTATATAAAAAATTGGATTTCTCTGGGCATGGAGATTGCAAAAAAAAAAATGGTATTTTTAACAACATTGTCTAATTCAGGAATCATTAGATTGATAAACCGTAGGAAACGAATCAATCAGAAATCCGTGTGTGCATTTCACCACTCAAAAATCCGTGTGTGCATTTCACCACTCAAAAATCCGAGTGTGCATTTCACTACTCAAAAAACCGAGTGTGCATTTCACAAATCAAAAATCCGTGTGTGCATTTCACCACTCAAAAATCCGAGTTTGCATTTCACCACTCAAAAATCCATGTGTACATTTTACCACTCAAAAATCTGTGTGTGTATTCCATGATATATACAAATTAAATAGCCTGTATTCTAAAATCCGAAAAAAACTGAAAACCGAAGCACTTCCAATCTTAAGAATTTTGGATAAACGATTCTCAACCTATATTATTCTTGTTGAGTGAGAGCGTAACGTGACACTGAAACTGGGGAGGTGGGTAGGCTGATATGTGTATAGCAGACACACGCATCACAGCCCAAAAGGCGTAATGTGGTGATAGATTTTGATACAAGAAGCTGCTTGAACGTCTATTAATTAATTTTATTTCATACAAATGATCGTCATTCTTTAGTTCCATCAGTTCAGACACTTACAGCTGGGTCTCACCGTGCTACATCCACAGTGTCAAATCAGCCACATTTCCTACATATTCCATTTGTAGGGAAGAAGTTCCACTCAGGCAGCTTTTTTTGTTACTTTGTTGATGCTTCCCGTAACATCACACTTTAACCGCTTTAAGTCAAGGGTCAATTGTTATCTATCCTCCTTATCCTCGTAATCATCATTGCCTAACTCTTGCTCTTTCAGTCATATCATGCACCTCGTTCAACAATAAGTGTGGAGTGAGTAACCATGGTCAAATACAAAATAAATAAAAGAACTGTCCTACAAACAGAATTGACAAAGTTTTCAATAAGCAATAACTCGGAAAAGAAAATAGAGAATAAATAAACAACAAGCAAACAATATATGCAAGGCAAAGCAATCGTAAAATGGCAAAAAGTCGTCAAACTAAGAATTGGCGTTGACACACAAAAGTAAGTTCGGACAAGCGAAGGTAGCGTTCTTAATTCAAGACAAGACAGATCGGGACTGAGGTTATTTAACTCAACCTCTCCACAAGGCAGGTTGTAGCACAATTCGTTTTTTTTTTTGACGTAGGCTTGGCCAAAAATTCCATGTAGACCCCACATACACAGGGTTGGGCTTGTCTACCTCCCAGGCGTGACTCTGCCCTTCGGCATAGCCTCGTCTAGGTTCCTCTCGACAATTCGGCCCGAATCGCCTGAAACAATAGATCGGGACTGAGTTAGATGTAAACGAGTACCGATCTATTTTATTGGCTAGGAAGAAATCCCAGCATTCATTTGCATGATTCTGCCTATGAAAAGAGAAAGCATTTTACAGTCATTCCCCATTGGTATTTAAACGAACAGTAAGTCTCTATCTTGAGTGACCCTTCTGTCTGGTATTGGGTAAGCATTAGTATTTAAAAGCAACTTACCAGAAGGTTTAGTTTCCATAGGTTGAAACTGTAAATAAAATAGAAATACTTACATTTATTTAAGCTTATAATAATTAAGCATAATTAATTAAAATACTATTAAGAATATGTAGAATGGTAACCAACAACAACATATATTAATAGTCACGCATGAACAGACGCGCACACACACACACACACACTCTTACAAAAATACCAGACACAAATTCAAACATACAAACACACACACGAACGCAAAGACAAATATATATACGCATTATTTAACTTATATAAAACGCTCAAACACACGTACAGTAAATGTACGTACATATGTACGGACGCGCGTGCGCACGAACAGACGCACACACTCACAGGAATGCACACATAAAGGTACACACAAAAATGTACACACAACCACTCAAACAGTCATATAAACACGCACAAATTTAAACATATGTTCAAACACACACAAACACGCACACCGACATAGATATCGGCAAAACGACGCAATCCAGAAGAATCAGCAATATTATTGGTCCTGATCTGGCGGCTCGGATTCAGTCACTTTCCTACCACTGTAAGGTTGCCTCTCTGTGCCTTTTTAAATAAATACTTTCATGGTAATCGTTCGGACGAGTTCCTCGCTATGGTACCTAGACTTTTTAAATTTAAGTGCAGATCGCATCAATGTAGAGTTGAGCTGGCTAACAGTTTATTTTCTCGCACTTCTCGCTTGTGGAATTCTCTTCCCTTTTCATGCTTTCCAGTCAATTTTAATCTGTAATAATCGGGATCTACTGTCCTCCTGATTACTCTCATCTCATCCTGGTCATTATCAATGTTTCTGTTCCTAGTTTTTCCATACCTTGCAACCCCTTGTGTCTTAGTGGCTTTATTGCCTTGCATGTGGGTGATACCGATTAAAAAACAAAAACAAAAATTGCTATTTCTATAGCAAATGTTCTACATTTGTTATTTCCACCAGTTCTTCATCCTGGGTATGACGATAAACCTCATCCGGGCTCAAGCTCCTGACAGAGAGGTGGGAGGTTTTGAGAAGCGTGGAACCACATCATAACTGTTGTTGTTTCCAGGGCCACCTAGACCCGGTGTGACAACACCTGTTAGGGTCCCAGCTATAGGCAAATACCGAACAAAATTCAATGGTACATTTTGATAATAAACTGACCAACAATACATTTTTATAGCAAAATAAAAATCAATGCAACATTAAAAGAAAATATAAAAATATATTTTTATAGTAAAATTACCAACAATACATTTTAGGATTTACAAACTATACAGGATGTCCATAAAGTTCGTGTGCACTTTATAAAATTTATAACTTTATTTATATTTACGATAGAAATAATTTGTAAAAAGGATTAGAAAGAAGTAAATCTATATTTTTTTAAGGTTTTATTGAAATTTTATTTAAGTTTCCACATGTCCTCCATCATTAGCAATACAAAGGGTAATACGATTTTGCAGTTCACGGAAAACATTTGCCAACTGATTTACATTAATGCCTGAAATCACATTAGTTATTTTAGCTATACTTAAAACTAGGTACATTAAACTTTATAACATTTTTTACGGATTATTTCTATAGCTAATACAAATAAAGTTATAAATTTTTTAAAGTGCACACGAACTTTATGGACACCTTGCATAACTAAAAAATCTGCTTTTACTTTGATATACTTACTTTAGTATAAAATGATGTACAAAATATCTGTAGTTAGAATTTTGTACAAATTATTTAGATTTCGGCATTAAATAACCCATAGAGGTTTTGACATGCCGATAAACAAAATCAATCAACCAACAACTATGGTAAAATTGCCAATAAAACATTTAAACCAAAATGACCAACAATACATTTTATCTGTAGTTGAAGACGCACTACTGCATTCAAATAATTTAGGTTTCGACATTAAATAACCCATAGAGGTGTTGATATGTGGCTAAACCAACCAACAATACCTGTTTATAGTAAAAATTACCAACAGTACATATTTAAATCAAAATTACTAAAAATGTATTTTATCTGTAGTTGAAGGCATGCATCTGTGTTCAAAATTTGTACATTTCAGCATTAATTAACCTATAGGTGTTGATATGCCGCTAAATAAAAACAAACAACCAAATCTACCAGTTCAGACCTTCACAGCTAAAACTTGTCATACCATGTACAATGAAACGAAGTGTTCTCCTTTCCTTTGAAAAGAAGTTCCATTCAGAGAGGCTTTCCTCCTAGAACCAATAAAGAATAACTTGAACACAGGTATGGAATAACACAGATATATTACAAACAGGAATATATACAGAGAAGTAGAAAGTGTTAGTACGAACAATCAGGTTTAGTAGAGAGAACAATGTAGTCTCGACCAGTATCACTATTCCAGTGTCTTGCAGTAATAGTCTGAACGCGACTCTGTTTCGGACTGCCTCTGACTCGACTCTTGACTCGACTTGAACTACTGACGATATTCAGTCCCCACCCCCCATAAAGCCGCTTTAGCGTGGGATCTCCGAGCCCGTGTGCTCGGCCAAAAATATGTCCATTGATCCCGTATAAACGGGTTCAGGGTCGGTTTACCTCCCCGAAAGAGAATCCGCCCTTCGGCGTAGCCTCCTTCGGGTTCCTCTCCGCCCGAAGGCAGAGAGTTCAACCGATCAGCCGGTCGACCGAGATCGACTTGAACGACTGACTCCCTCCTTGCCTACTCCTGAGGCGCAGTATTTATTAAGTATGGAATAGTCCATTATTATTATTATTATTATTATTGGTAAGATCCCATAACACTTCATATCTCGGGTCCGCCATTATCTTTCCTACATAACCTTATAAACTGCACTTCTTACCTCTTCATCTTAAGTGGGGCTTACGGCCATATCACGTCGAAACACCGGTCTCCTACGATCATCGATGTTAAGCAACGTCGAGCCTGGTTCGTAACTGGATGGGTAAGCGCTTTGGATGTGGGGTAATGAATAGTAGCTTGGAATTGTAAGCCGGACAGCTGAGTTCTAATTCCAGTAGGGTTCATTATATTTACATATGTACAAATACTCATTGGAAAGGCATGAAACCACGTCTCCCCCAGTTATGGATTAATTAGTAAATCTTGCATAATTATTATCTAAAATTTCTTACAATATAAAAGTAATTTCCGGTTTTAAATAACCTGAAAAGCAATAAAAAAAAACATAAACGTTTGTATAAATGAAATTAATCAAAATTGCAAGCGCCGCTCTATCATCTGAAGATACGAAATGTTTCAAAGTTATTAGTGAATGAGCGGTGCAATCTTCGTTTTAGCAGTCATTGCTGAGCGTGTAGGCGTATTAACAAAGGGCATCAAAATTAATTTTGATTATATTGCCAGATGGTAACCCATCGTGTTTACAATGTGCCTATCTTTTATACTTTTCTAATTTAGTGTTTGTAAAGAAAGATGCCTTCGAAAAGCTAAATAAAGTATTAAGAAAGAAGAAAATTTCCTTAGAAACAATGAAAAGAGTATTGATCTGTTACATAATGTCAGTCCTTCTATATGTTCGACAATCTCCTGACAGATGAAGAAGAGATTTGAAGCAACAGAAAAGTGCTTATATAAACGGATGCTGAAAATACAATGGACCGAACATGTAACCAACGACGATGCTCTAGAGACAATGGCATCAAAAACGGTCACAGAAAGAGACAGATGACATTTTTAGGGCACATAATGAGGAAAGATGGCTTGGGAAATTTGATACTCACAGGGCAGACTGAAAGAGGGAAACAAAACATAATCTACCTTGCGAACTTGAGTAAATGGATTTATTAAGTTACAAAAGACAGGAAATTGTGGAGAACCATGATCGCCAACGTCATGAAGGGACACAGTACATGAAAGACGTTTCCGTTATTCACGTTTTCTGCATGCTACCGGTGGCCTTTTACCACCTGTTTGTTTACCAATTTTATACCAATGGTTGATTGATTCATTTTCTACGGCTTATAAACCTTTTGCATGTTATTTAAAGCCAGGATTTATTTTTAGAGTCTAAGTATTTTTTGAAGATAATAATGATTTATCGAATTTTTTTGAAGATAATAATCGATTTATCGATAATAATGATTTATCTTACTTATAAAACAAGTCTTATTTATAAAAACATGTCTTACTTATAACCCCACTTTCCCCCATAGCTGGTGGAAAGGGGTTTTTATACCATTTCCAAAGCTATTTGTGTGCAAATCAATATAACGAACCCAACTGGAATTGGAACTCGCTTTTCCGATTAACAATTCTGAGCCATTATACATTACACCACCCGCACATCCAAGCTTACAGCAGTTGTAATTCACAAGCGGTCACCAATTTAAGTAGTGACCAAACTCGACGTGTTTCCTCAGTGGTAGTAAATTTCCTTTAATATAGCATGGATTTATGGAAAATTACATTATATCTAAATCGAACCAAATGTACTGCCACTTCCAAACGGCTGAATATCTGACGAGGAATCTTTCAAGGAGACCCCCTATTGCCATTTCTATTATGCTTGTCCTTAATCCCCCTTTCGCATGAACTAAACAGTAATAACTATGGATACAAAGTGAAAAAGAATGTCTTTAATCATCTATTCTATATATTCTGGTATCAAACTCTTTGCCAAAGATGACAATGAGTTGAAGAGTGTCTTCAATAGTGTAAAATGTTTCAGTGATGGCATAGGTATGGTTTTCGGATTAGATAAATATGCAAAAGAAACATTAAAGAAAGGGAGAATTACAGAAACATACTCAATAGATTTAGATTTCGTCACAAAGATTAGGGAACTGGAACAAGATGAAGCCTATAAATACTTAGGAGTCAGCGAAGGAGATGGAATACAGCATAACCAAATAAACGAGAAAATAGGAAAGGAATGCTACAGGCGTGTGTGTCTGGTGTTAAATACCGAATTGAAATCACAAAACAGAATACCAGACATAAAAAACTTTGGCTGCCCCTGTGGTGCAATAGTTTCATCATCCTTAATTGGACCATAGCTGAC